CGGAAGAAGGTGAGATGGGGGTACAGAAGATTTAGTTGAGGTGGTCTAGTGGTTTGAGCGTTGGACTATGACCATGGTAGATCAGGCTTCGACTCCCGCTCATCCATGGAAACCCCATTGGGTGTGAGTCACACACTCTCAGCCCCAGAAAACCCCATGGTAGATTGATTCATCTGACTTAGGGCCGCCATAGGTTTTACTTTACTTTTACTGATTAGTCAGATTTTTTTTTTTAGATCTGTCCATTTTTCTATCCAATATTTTTTTCATAGGTAACCATTCCTCTTCTATATCTTCTGGTGATTTTTCCCCCTGTAGCAAAGCAGGTAAGGTGTCTGTATTCATTGCTTCCCTTAATTTCATCAACCATTCTTAATCTGTCGGTAATATTTGTCTTTTTCCAATATTTAGCATACAGCATACTTGCTGTTGATAACATGTACTATAGTATTCTTCCATATCTTTTTCTTCTTCTTCTATATTTCCTATTAAATGTGTCTTATTTAGTAATATAATTTCTGGCTCCTGAGGTATTGTTATAAATAAATAAAAGGGATTCGTATGTAAACAATCCAGTTTATAGATTTTGGGAAAGGCAAGGAGAAAGTGGAGTTGAAGGGGGCGAGTTCAAGGGGGAAAGGGGGGCACAGGCGAGTTCAGGGCTCAGAGGAAAGTTGGGAAGGCTTTGTTGTTGTTGTTGTGTGCCTTCAGGTTGTTTCCGACTTATGCCGACCCTATCATACGGTTTTCTTAGCAAGACTAGAGGAGGTTTACCATTGCCTTACCCTGAGACTGAGAAAGTGTGACTTGCCCAGGGTCACCCAGTGGGTTTCATGGCTGAGCAGGGACTCGAACCCTGGACTCCAGAGTTGTAGGACTTTATCACACGGGAGGCAAGCGTTCTCCTCCTGTCATTAAATCATCATTAAATCCCGTCACTATCACACAATAACGCAATGCTTTTCACATGATGCCGCCATTATTGCACCATTATTGTGTGAATAAAGTGGCAAAATCACCATTATCCCATGAACAGAGCAGCAAAATCGCGCCACTTTTTATTCACTGATTTTTGCCATTTTATTCACAGGATACTGGCATAATAATGGCGATGTCGTGTGACATTGCGTGAAAAGCATCGCATTATTGCGCGCTATTGACATGATTTAATGATGGGAGGAGGATGCTTGCCTCCGGTGTGATAGTCCGTAGTCTAATACTTAAACTGCTGCACACACCGGTTCTTTGGAAGGTTTAGGCAGGCAGCAAAGCAACCTCCCCAAAGTTGCAACCAATTCGGGGTAGATGAGGAAGGTCTTCTTGGAATAAGGTGGCCTCCTGATGTTTTTACAAGACCCCTTCCAAGCTTGCTTGAGAGGCAGAAATTCATCTGGTGAAGCACTTTAAAAACAGATTGAGCTGGTGCTGTAATGGGGGAAATCACATCTGTTGAATTTTAGCCTGATATGCAGGGTTGTTGTTGTTGTGTGCCTTCAAGTCATTTCCGACTTATGGCGACTATTATGGGGTTTTCTTTGCACATTTCTTCAGAGGGGATTTGCCATTGCCATCCTCTGAGGCTGAAAGAGTGTGATTCACAGAGAGTGTTTGGTGTTAGACAGGCCTAAATATCCTAAAGGCGCCAGATCCTGTCTGATCTTGGGAGCTAAGCAGGGTTGGCCCTGGTTAGTACTTGGATGGGAAACCACCAAGGAATATCAGGTGCTCAGAGGAAGGAGCTGGCAGAATCACCTCTGAGCATTCTTTGCCTAAGAAAACCCTATGAAATCAATGGAGTCAACAGCCACACACAAACATTGCTGCAAATATCCCATTGCACACATACACAGTGGGAAGCACACTTCCTAATGCTTCTCTTTCTCAAGCTGAGGCTTTATTTTTGCTTCTGTATCATCCCCCTTCTTCTCTGATTAGGTCTGAGTGAAGTTTAGGAGAAAAAAATGCATCGGGACATGTTATAAAGTTCCTGAAACTTTCTAATTTTAGCATTCTGTAACCTAATACAGACCCAATAAGTCTTCTGGTTTCTGGCTAGCTTTTCTGGGCAAGGAGCCAGCTTTGCATAGCGATTTGAGTGCTGGACTATAACTCTGGAGACCAGGGTTCGATTCCTGGCTTGGCCATAAAACCCACGGGGTGACCTTGTCACACTCTCTCAGCCTCAGGGGAAGGCCATGGCAAACCTCCTCTGAACAAGTCTTGCCAAGAAAACCCCATGATAGGGTTGTCTTAGGATCGCCAGAAGTGGGAAATGACTTGAAAGCACACAGCAACAACAATCTAATACAGGTCCAACAATTCTGGTTTGTGGCTAGCTTTTCTGGGCAAGGGAGGATCACAGTTTGAGGAAAAGCCAGGGAATACCGGTACATGTTGGGCAAAGAATATTTTTATGAAGAAACAAAATGGAAGAAATCAATAAACAGGAAGGGTTAATAATGGTGTGATGCTTTAGAACAGGATCGTAAATAGGTTTCTAGGACCCCAACATACACTCTCTGTGTCTGTGCCTCTGCATACATCCAGAAGGATTTTGGCTCATTTGGTCAGCCGTGTAAACAACAACCCTGTAAGTGGGCTGGAATTATAAATGTCCCCAGAGATGTGCAGATTTTGACTGGGCTTTGTAACCAACTGCATTTAATAGAAGAAGCCAGTAGTGGCTTGGGTATCTTACGCCTAGGGAAACTCTAAGGAAAAGTAAGTGTACTTCTCTTTGTATTTTCTACTCAGTAAGGCTGTTTTACAGGAGTGGAGTTGACGGCATGGCCATGTAGGTGTTTTTATGAATGTATGTGATAGCAGCTGCCCCAGCACAAGATGTGGCCTAGGGAGATTTTGAAAGAGGTAGCCTGTGTCTTTCTCTGTTTCTCCTAACTTTTAAAACATTTCTAGTTTGTTGTGTTTATTACATAGTCGGCCCTCTGTATCCACAGATTCTTTATCCACAGATCCAAGCACCTATGACTTGAAAATACTCAAAAATGTATATATTCCAAAGAGCAAACTTGATTTTGCCATTTTATGTAATGGGCACCATTTTACTATGCTATTGTATTTAATGAGACTTGAGTATCCACGGATTTTGGGATCCACAGGGGGTCCTGGAATCAAACCCCAGCGGATACCAAGGGTATGTACACTATTATGGAAATATTTTGTCATCTTGCCTTTTCTTTGAAATGGCACCCAGCACCATTGCATCCTCACAGCAACAACCCTGTGAAATAGATTAGGCTGAGAATTGGTGACTGTGTGAAATCTTCCTAGAAGACTAGCTTTGTGGTTAAATTAAGATTATGGATAAGGGCCTTCTTCAGCTCCAACCACTACACCACATTGGCTCAATAGAGCCTATCCCTCCTGAGTAGGGTCATCCCAAGACATTTTGCTGCCTGAAGCAAAACAACTAATAGTGCCCAAACTCACCATGCTTGGCTGACCAAATCATCTTGGCACCTGAAACAGAAAATTTCCTGAATATCTGAGATTGCAAATAGAACAAAAATGAATTAACAAATGAGCAATTGGTTGCCCTCCCAATGTCATTTGTTGAGGCAGCTGCTGCAGTCTGTCTAATAGCAGAGCCAGGCCTATTGATGAAGGAGAGAATTAACTTATGGTTGTGCTTGTGACTTGGCAACTGTGTTGGTAATGTCTGGTTTGTCCCTGCATTGCTGGGGAGGGGGGTATGATAAAAGTGGACAGGTTAATAGCTTGCTTAACTCTACCTCCTGTGTTTGTGGCTGAGGAACCTTCAAGCCAGAAGATTTCTGGCCCACAACTTAGTGCCTTGAGACATAGCATCGTAGCACTTGGGTTGGCTTGAAAAGGTGGTTTGGGGCCTTTGCAGACTGCTAGAAATAGTGCAAATTGAATCCACTTTAAGGGTTAGGGTTAGGGAATTATGGGAAGTGTATTTTATTGTGGCACCAGAGCTCTCTGACAGAGAAGGCTCTAGTCTCCGGAAAAAAACAATTCCCATGATTCCCTAGCACTAACCCTAACCCTAAAAGTGGACTCAATTTGCACTATTTCTGGAAGTCTGCAAAGGCTGTTGGATAGCAAGGAAGGGGTGGTAGGAAGAAAGAAGGAAGACTCAAGTAAGTGTCCGAGTAATTCACATTTCCCCCCTTTTCCCTCCACCCAAATATTTCTAGGGTACCTGACAATGATCATCCCTGTTCGATGTTTCACCTGTGGCAAAGTTGTGGGCAATAAGTGGGAAGCATACCTGGGCCTCTTGCAGGCTGAATATACAGAAGGGTGAGTTTCCGGAAGGATGTTTTGTTTTGTCAGTGTGTATTGAAAAAAGCCGATAAAAAGAAAATCAACTCATTTGAGATGTAAGGCTGGAGAAGAGTGCTGAGGATACCATGGACAGGCAAAAAGACAAACAAA